CTTTAACGGTTTTTGCACGAAGATTCACGAAGGTTGATTAAAATATTTATCATCATTATCTGCCTACCCTTATCCTAATTTTATATGGGGTCGGCGCAGTAAGTATGGTTCCTCCATTATACTCTATTATTCGTCATCTCATTGTTTACTAGCTTCCAAGCCATATCCTCAATCACACAGTCCATCCACCTTTTCTTTGGTCTTCCTCTTCAACTCCCATACCTAACACTTTCTTCCCTCCGCATGACATGTCTATACTCGTACTAAGATAACCTATTACTTCTTAACTTTTCATCCAGTACTTTCAGACTCCCTCGTATCTACTCCATAACCTTATATACTTCCTAACCTTGTCCATGCGAGTCAAATCACACATACATCTCAGCATTTTCATTTCGGCTAACGTTCAGGCGTCTCTCATCCGTTCTCTTAATGGTTCAACTTTCAGAACCAACATTAAAATATTTATAATAATTGTAAATAAATACCCACCGCTGTGTATGAAAATTTTCGAAACTTGCTTCTACTATTTTTAAGTGTTATCAAAAATGTAAGGTTTCAATAAACTGCGAAGCTATTTTGACTTAGAGTTTTAGCAAAAGAGAAGTCTTGTTGCTTCTCTTGGCAAATTGCAATCTGAATAGCTTTCCCAAACCCACAAGCTGCCCAACGTATAATACCTATATGTGCACACAAACACAAGGGCAGTTAACACTCTATAAAAAGTAATACGTCATCAAAATAGTCATCAAAACTGCAACGGGCAACCGTAAAAAATATCGATGGAAAAAGCCCTGCGTGTATAATCGACACCTGCGACAATTAATGGCGGGTTCAGGCTGCACCACTTTCATTACACGCGCGTGCATTCCAATATATGAATTGGCATTCGTTTGTATGTGCACTTGTAAAGTAATGGAGGCGAACGTACACATAGCCCCGCTTTGTAGAGTCACTTTGGCGGTCACTTTTTATTTAAATACTTTATAGTGATATGTGATCGTTAAAATTGACTGTTGATTCGTGAAATCTGATAATCATAATAAATAAAGTTTTACATATGCTATAATTTTTTTGTAAGAAGCAGAGTACAGTAGAGTGACGAGCGCTACAATTTACTTCTGGTAAGTAAGAGATCCATAAAAGCCTATGTATAACATACAACTAACATACGCTTAATGCCAGCATTTTATTTGTGATCGTTTTGCATCTGGCAGACCACGTGGCCGTTTAACAACAAAGTGGTTAAAAAATATAACTGAAAAACTATTTTTACTACTGTTACTATATATGCCTTAACAAATAAAGCTTAACAAAAGCCCATACTGAAGCAAGCGCTACAGAAAATAACAAAAGCATGGAGAGTTCATAAAGTTATTAGGTACTTAAACATTATGTACACAAGTAAGACAGTTTATGAAATATAATGGAGCAATAATAATAACTTCAAACATATTACACAGACATTTCCAGACACAGAAAAAAATATCGCGCTCTTCACACAATTATTTGTCCCGGTTGGGAATCGAACTCATGACCTGCGGCTTAGCAGTCAGGGTCACTAACCATTACAGCATCAGGCCACTCAAATAACAATTAAGAGTTATATGAAAGAAAAATAAATAATATACAACCAAGATAAGCCTTGTCCTAAAGGGCTATGAAAATACATTATTATCTCCTATATCGGCACATCTCTTACAATGGAAATGCTCTAAGGCAACATGAGTCACAAATCGATTAAACATCGAGCAATTAGATCACTAAGTTCGGCTCCCTTGCGGGGCCGCACTATCACAATGTGAATTGTAATTGAAGATCACGTCGGGTACGAAATGGGACGTTTGTGTTCATTATGTCATAAGTGGAAGTGCTTTTGAACTATTATTATAAAGCCTTAAAAAGTTAAAGGAGCTTTAGGTCGTTTCAAGAATTAATTTGTTAAGCATGTAATCTTCCTTTAAGAGTAACCTTTTTTTAAAGAAATAACCCCCCCTAATCAATGAAGAAAATGGGATTCCAAAAAATATTAGCCACCGTTTAGCCTTCGTTTATTTCAATAACATCATTCTAAAGTAAAAGTAACATTAACTTATTAAATCATCTTAAATACACACAAATAAGTCATGATCGTACGTGAAAGTCTCCTAACCAGTTTTGTTGTCAATAAATCCATCCTCACTCAGTCGTAACATACTCTAAAGTTAACAGATAAAAACTTAGTTTGTTCAGTCCCAACTCCCGGGTTCGATTACGTAAGACGCGCAAACTTCCTCTATTACCCCCTACTTAAGGGTACAAATTTAAGCGCCCCCTATTTAAACACTGTTGCCAAATACCTACGTGTGTAATTTACGCCAAGTGCGGTTTACAACCAACGAACATTATGCGATTGCCGGATTTGGCCAAGAGCGAGCGAGACGAAATAAATCTCTGACGAGACGAGCGATTTATAAGCAACCGGTGATTTGTAAGAAACCAACAGGGAGCCGAATCGAATTTAATTTTATGGGAAAATAGGCTTGAAATTTTCCAATTCTAGTGTTTGATAATGATATGTTTGCCTTTTCTTATTCATTAAAGTAACGCAACTTTTTATGCCACTGGCTAATAAAAAATGACTGTAATTGCTAACCACGTCTTTTATAAAAGACGAACGCCTTATACTGTGTTCTATAACATTTTACATTTATAGGTCTAATAGGCACATTGCAAGTAGCAACTAATTACTACCGACCATAGATAATATAACGCGCCGTTTTTAACGCGTACTACCAAAAAGTCTGCACAGGTGGGGACGGTAAGTCCACCCACAACAATGTCATCATTTAAGCCGCACATTAGTGAAACTTGCGTCGTTTGAACACCTGGGGTAGCGACACACTACTCGATATTTTACTACGGGAATAAAGTGCCCGCCAAAATGTAAATTTCGACTTTGCCCTCCGTCGGCAATATTTCAATTTAGATTTTGTTGAATATTGTTTTGAAACTGTGATAGAAATCTTATCAAAGTGTTATTATTATGTTATTTGTATATTATAATTGGCAAGTGTTATAAATATTTTTTCACATAATTATTCATATTTACAGAGTAAGTTACTTACATTTTTTGATTTACTTTTTCATTAACATTTCGTTTTGTAAAATCCACAAATAAAAAACACATTTCGGTATTGTTCTTAACATTGTTATGACATGTTTCTAAATCTACAACGTATTTTTTATAATTTATAGTTAATTAGCTGCTCATTGCCACGCTTCGCTGTGGTACTTATACAACGTGTTGGCTAAAAATCATGTTCATATTTGGGCTCAATCGGTGCAGAACTTTTTGAGTTTTTGAAGCACATAAACCAACTTTACATTTTTATATAAGTAGATAGAGATATACATTACACATGCAATATAAATATTATACGTCTCACATTGTGCCTGACAGACTTCAACCGTTTAGCGGTTAAGTGTGTAGGAATGCGGTCTACAACCAAGAATTTATGACATGTCAACATGATGATAAATATTAAATAGAATAATACTTTTTTTAGTTTATACTAGTGATAAGTTAAGCGAATACGATGCAGCGGTAGTTTAATGACATCGAAAAGCAGCTGTTCATGTTTTCGTCATCTCTTGAAAGCTAGACTTATCAGAGTTGCGGTTGCACAATAATCATTACCGTTTTCAGGATTATACTAAGAGCGTCCTCTTTGGTAAGAAATATGCGTTTATGATGAATAAAAGAGCGACGTCATTAGCATGGACGACGACCGACGGGGTGAACAACAAAACACGTGTAAGCAAATTAAAACAAAGCTGCTACTTACGCAGTTGTAAATCAATGAAATCTACGTCAATTTTCTCTAACAACACCCACATACCTGGAAAGAAAATAATTGTTTATTAATTAAAGATAACTCAAATGTAGGCAACATATTCTTGTAAGAATAATATAATATATATTCTAGTAAAACCACACAACGTCATTAAAATTTAGTTCTCAACTAAGCAGAGCTTGTACTATGATTACTAGACAACTGATATAAATACGTATATACTTTTTTTGTAAATACGTACATATTATACATAAAAACACCCAGACTAAATCAAGTATTAAATGTTCATGCACACAAATGTTTGAATTGAGCGGGAATGGAACCCGACACCTTTTAGTCCGTTAAACAATGCACTACGCCAGCCGGTCGTCAAAGCAATACTTAACCATCTATGACTTATTGTCAGTATCATAATAATTTACTTCAATATTTCTAAAATTTTACACAGCAAACCTCAACATGCATTTTTATTAGTTGGCTTTAGCTATAAAGAGTTCAGAAACGAGTTTAATTAAAATTATTTGAAATCAGAATCAACATTCTGAATTCAAACGTTAGGAACGTTTGGATATTAACCAATAGCGGGTCGCTGGTGAACCACGAGCGCGCCAGTTAATCGCTGCCAACTAGTGGGTAATCCTTTCGAGTGGTGTGCATATAACGAGTGCATTCCGAACGCACGGCATACAGCAGAATGCGGCACTCGCCAGCTCAAAGCGATGACGGGGCCGTATCATTGCATGATGAACATCAGCAGGCTGTGGCTACATGTGTGAGTGACGTGCTCGCACTCACTGTAATACGCATCATGTTTGCGAATAAACCAATCATTTTCTAGATATAGAACGTACTCGTAAATGTACTGTTTATGATGCGTCAAATAAGTGTAACAGATCAGCATATATATTGGATTTACGGTAAATCTAAGAATATCGAAAATTCCAAGGCGTCTCCCTCAAAATTTTATAGCTAATGTTAACTATTCATTCGAATCTCAAATTCATCCGAGCTCCTTAAACGAAATAGCAACTGCCATTCACAACAGTACAGCGACGTTTTAAAGCGACTCGCTTTGTTAGTTTGTGCCCTTTTCACGTCTGGCTTGCGACTAACTTCGCGCTTGAAAAAGCTGTTGGACATTAAGAATAGTAAATAAATGCAGCATCACTGAGATGTACTGAATGGGAGGCAGTGAGGTGCGCCGGCGCCGCGTACATTGCCCTCGTGCAGCCCCGCACCCCACCCCACGCGGTGGTACAAACGCGACTGACTGCATTCCGCTGCGCTTCCTGACCAGGGCAAGTGCAGCGGCATTACACTGCAAGTACTTGTACAGCGCCGCGCGCGTCGCGCCTCATACCCCACACTAGGTCTCCAACGACCAGTCAAACACAAAGGAACACCTAGGCACGTTTCGTATGCCTAGGTAATCACATAATTCGATAAAGATATCTATCTGATCAATGGCATCATGTTTTGATGTATAGTAGCAAAGAGCCTTTGCCCCTTTTAAAATAATCATAAAATCTAATATTATGAAAAAAATAAAGGGACTTCTCCCCGCCCGTTACTCGCCTTCTCTGAGTAAGCCCTTTGTAATCTAATGCATTAAGATTATTAGGTTGTTCTGACATCATCTTATTTCTTAAAAATTTACCGGTCTTTTATGTACAACGAGTTTCTTTGCTGAAATATACTTTATGTTCGTTAAATAAAATATTACAGGTGTTATTTAAAATAATTTGTCACGTATTAACATTACAGGTCAAAGATACGATTTACAATGTCCGATTTAGGAGATAAATTAAAACTTAAAAGGGCAACATCTAATGAACGTAGATTACGATCGCGCACGGATAACTCATACATATGTTGAGTTTTATATAAGATATAAGTTAGCCCATCTAGTCGAAAGCAAAGCAAAAAGTATGGAAACACTCGGTAATAGTCCATCTGCTGAAAGCGTTTTCCATGAGGCTTTTAAGCGCTTATCTTGGGAATGATAGCCGCGGCCGGACGCTGAAAGGCTGTGACGGCAATTTGCTTACATTAGGATATGCCCCGTTTCACCATCGCCCGATGAAAGTGTACATTTTTTCTGCAGCAATTGGTATGCTTTTTCATTTTATTATTATTTTTATATGAAATGCATTTACAGAATCGAATATTAATTCGATGAGCATTCAGCTTCGAATGGGAAACAAATTTAGTGGAACTCTGTATTGGATGTTATGTATGCATATTAGATTATTGTAATAGTTTGTGATACTCAGCCGTGTATTTAATAGTTTTTAGAAACAATCTAACTCTTTTCGTAACTATGTGTGAATTTTATTTTTAACGTCGTAACCGAAGCGGAAACTCGTAGAGAATTACTGGCGGTGAAGTAAAAGAAATATATGGCCAAACGTCTATTTCTTAACAAGTTGCTTGTAAGGGTTTAGTATAGTCATTAATTTGAACACAGTGTACAGTCATTAAGAAGTTTAGTGCTACGGTTTAAAGTACTTTTATTCTACGGACATGGGGCGTCCATAGGGAAAAAGAGTGGTCGACAAACGTAACTACTATTAGTACACGAGTAGTAATTTAGTATAGATAAAATAATAATTATCTATGGTATGAGAGCTTAGCGTGTACGGAGAGATAGAGTGCGGTGTCCGTAAGCCGTATGTTTGGTTTCCGCAGCTATTTCTGGATCGCCGCCATTGTTCAATGAGTTATAGCCGCTCACGAGAAGGTTAAACAACAAAACTATCGCTTCACACGAGAAAATGAAAGTAAAAATACGGTTCAAAACCAATATTTTATGTTTGGGTCGATTTATATAAAATTGTTTAAGAATTTTCGAAACCACTAGGCCATTCCTTGCACGCTTCGTTTCATAGTATTCAATTCACGTTTTACTGTAGACCACAACTTGATACGAGATTTACACAATAATTTTTATCAAAATTCCACAATCGGATATTATTATCTTAAAAAAAACAGCACGTGTCTAGCCCAAAAAGATGGTAACTGTAAGGTAAATTAAACTTTTTTATATTAAAGAGACTTCAGTGTGTTATATTATGTTAAAAGCACAAACTAAATTAAATGACGATACTCAGTCATGAAATCATACGTTTGTCCAAATTAAACTAAGGTCAAACCTCGTTCAAACATTCTTAATAGATCTAATAGGCAATCAACTGGAAAAAGTTATTACATTTCAAAATATCTATAATCTATCGTCCTAATACGCGTATTAAAACAAATTCAAAATTGAACTATACTGGAACTATACTGGATGCATCCGAACCATTGATTTCAATGCATACGTAAATCCACCCTACCTCGGTTCTTGCTATTCAATTGGGATAGTTTCGGTATCTAGATCGTTATTGCTCCAGCGTAAACCAATATTGTCGTTAATGGTCGCACATTTGAATATTTATACGGGTTTTTCCTTTATATTGTAGGCAATTTCATGAGAGCCAATTCTATCAATTTTTTTATTTCTCAAAAGTAAAGGGTGCTTGGATTGCAATTTTTTTCTCAATTGTATTGGTATGTATATAGAAAGAACAAGACTTACCTTACGGTACAAGTTATCTATGTGAGACGTGATGCTACCGTGACGTTTGAATAAATGAAAGAAAAGTATTTGCTTCATTAACTATTCTAAAGAGGGGACAAATCCAAACAAGAAAACAGCAGATTAAGGCTACAGGACCGAGGCTGCTTGACCGATGCTCGTATCGTACATCGACATGATCGTATCGTATGTGTCCGGATGTAATTTATATGTTATTTATACGTATATTTTTAATAATATAAAAGTATGTATAAGATTTGTAAGAAAACATAACGGATTTAACTAAGAACTGCTAGTTCTTACTGAAATCCGTTATTGTTTCGTGCTTCTCTAAATCGTCAAGAGATCTTTAATGCGTGTTAGTGTTTAACAAACTCAAATATACTATTATAATATATTTTCTATCCCATTTTAGTACACGGCCATCGTCAAGCAACAATATTAAATCTTGAAATATCTTAAACAAGTGCCTTGTTCACTCTTAACACTCATGTTTCCATAAGCCAACTTCATAAACATTAAAGTTATCCAACTATTGTTTTAGTAGCAAAGTGTTAAAAAACTTCGTGTTCCCAACGGAAAAAACTTCCAATCCTTTATTACATGTTTAATACAGTAAGGTACTCTTTTTAACCCTCAGGAATTCAATTCCATACTTTTGTAATAGAAAAGTTGAATTTTCAAAGTATAACAGTGGAATAAAACTTATCTCATATTCCTGTAGTTTTACTTACATGATAAATTACTTACACTCCTGCTACACACGTGAAACTATTCGAATTGAACTCAATTGAAGGTATTTAAATACATACTACATATTTTAATAAAACTATACTGCGGCAGCAAACGGGCTAAAAAAATTGAATTCTCATATTAAATAGTAAAATATTTTTCGTCAAGTTTTTTTTATTAAAGGTTTGTAAGTCAACTTTATTCTTACTAATTAAAACCAATTTTACATGAAATTATAGTGGTTGTTTCTGTGAACCCTATCACTGTACAATTTAAGAGCCTTACAAATACCCAATATAGTGTAAATGATATTAAAATGATTGTCAAGTATCAAACGCAGGAAACGTTAATACGTAGAGACTATTTCAGCGTTGTCCTCCACCATTTCTTTTCATTACCTGAATCATAAAAGAAAAAGAAACAGGTTTCTCTCTAATTTAATTTATTATTTATAATTTTTTAAAGATTTAAAATGTGATATTAGTGGCAGTTTGCCCCTTTTTGTTGAAGAATGAAAAATAATTGTTGAATTAAAAAGCTTTTCGCTTCAGAAAAATGGATTTATTTTTTGGACTTATTTTCCCAAAAAATACATATTGTTGATAGAACTTCAACGTCTGTCGAGGTCCAATACTTGTCCGTGTGACTTGTAAGATTTCTTGTACGACATTATGTTTGGTCCCACAAGACATTATATACAAAACCAGGAGACGTGGTAGCGAAGCTAAAAGAACTCTGAATCAGCATGGCGTCGGGAAAACTTGTATAGAAGGTATTTATGGACGACGGTATATAATGCCAGTACTATTTTGACATATTACTTTGTGAACAAACTGTAAGGTGCAAATTCTTGTTGCCGACTATATGTATTTACTCCAACATAAAGAATAAAACTTGAATACGACTGTATCAGTTCTCACGACAAACAAATTATAACTATCATCGCGTCGGGTTGAATACTGCCCGATATTAATATTTCAAACGGGACCGGGGTTTTATTCAGCGAAATTGCAGTTAGAAAGATCCTATTAATGAACGTCCCGGACTCCTTTGTCCGGCGCCAGAGCATTTCCTGCACAATCGCCCTGACACCGTGTAATTAGGGAGAAAAATTCGTTACTCTGTCGTCTAGTACAGTGTTTCAGTTTTGCGGTAAAATGTTTTTTTTAATAGTCTTGGGGCAAATATTTCATTTATATTATTTTAATAGAGTGTGATATACTTTTCAACGCATAAAAGCATTCCGCATTTGTCATACTTGCCATGTAATTACTTTTGTTAGTTGTTAACGTGTTCAGGCTGAGCTTTGCTTTTTTTATGTAAGATATTTAAGATTCGGCTAATAGTGATACAAATACATGTCACACACCTGTGTCTTTTGCTTAAAGGTAGACTGTTAGAAAGTGCTTACAGCATTACAGTACCTTATGTAGTAAGTAAGAAGTAGGAAGTAAGACAAATAAACGAAACAATTCAGAAAATCGCTCTTTATGTTAGGTTAAATGCAGAATCTCGCAGTGACCACAGAATTGTATGAAGCGTATCACTACTACATATATGAATAGGGAACCGGTTCTCAGATCACTTTAAACTCATGAGTTGGATTTGAATAATTTTAACGTATCATATTGTTCTCAATTTCTTTCCTATTAGCAAGAAACCATTCTGTTATATCACGAAAAAACCTAAATTCATGTTTTACAGACAAAAAAAAATTAAATAGCAAAGATATTCATATATCCTATTTGTTATTTAATCGAGCTAATCAGCTTTGGCTCATTTAGAATAAACGTGTAGGTAATTGTCCGCTAATACTGGTCTAAAATTACAAAGAATAGGCTGAATTACTGTTATGATGTAAATTTGAATCGTTTAAATTGAAGAAGGTTGATAATTGAATTTATAGGGCAATGTTCATCATATTGTGTTAAATTATTACTAACGTACATGAGCAAAAATTCGAACTATTTTACCCTTATCTATTCAGATATAAGCGTATACTGGTATATTTTTTCTAAAGCTATATGAATATTCGTACTGTGCGAACAGGTCAAGCAAATATACTATATAATACTACAAATGTAAGGATAATAACGACAATCTGTCTACAAATAGTGAATAGACTAGTTTTTTAACGTAGACACTTGAATCTACGGTCGTTCCGGTTTGTAAGTCGGCACGATGACCTTATATCATTTATGGAATGGTACAAATCGTAGGCGGAAGCGGTAATTTACAATCACACCTATGATATTAGAATTTAGTGATTAAAATTAGGTTGTATACTTTATATCTTACAATTTACTGCTGTACATTTTGCACACACGAATAGTTTCAGATTTTAATTTGAGGATTCCTATTTATTAAGGTTAGTTTTAGAACAAATTATCACGTTAACACGTGAAAATTACTTAAATTAATATTTTGGTTTTTTAATTCTTATTTTACAGCAACAATTTGATTGTTCACTGCATCTTCTCTTAAAAAAATATTTGAAAATCAAAATAGAAAATTCGATTTTACCGCATGTAAATAAAACATTTGTAAACGGATTTTGCTCTTTTTAACCGAATTCAAAAAAGAAGGAGGTTCTCAATTCATAGGAATATTTTTTTTAATGTATGTTCACCGATTTCTCAAGGACGCCTGAACCGATTTGGGAAATCATTTTTTTGTTTCATAGGGTATACTTTCCAGGTTTAAATTTTATCGGGATCGGTCAAGCGAATTTGAAAAATCAACAAAAATATAAAAAATTTATACTAATTAATGTACCTAATTGTATAAATATAATGTTTCGATGATATGGTCTTTGACTCCCAAACCTCGCTGTCTCATTGGAGCAGTGCGTTTAGTTGGGCTACCCATATTATGTTTTTAATCGCTACTCGCTTTTGGTCCATACTGTAAGTAATTATTATACAAATTTTCCCAACACTCGTGGTGACGCAATAGGGCCCCTCGGACGGTAAGTTTTTATGCGTGCCCATAAAATTACCACTGCCCAGACCACTCGGAAGATCTTTATATCATTAACTACTTACGGTGTACTCGCTTATCAAATATATTTACAGATTAGAAATAGACTGTTGCTGCTCATTCTTAAACAAAATTTATAAACTGTATGGTATGTTGTTTAACTACTTATAACGAAAGATGAAAAAGAAAGATATTACGTAGTGTGATCGCTATTATTTCATACACATACAAAACTGAGATTTTATTAGTATTATTAATTAATAAAAAAGTTGAAGTCACACTATGCAATCTGACTGAAATCTTGGAAAAAATAAGTCACTTCACAAGCATGTAATTAAAGAAGAGTAATAAATGAGTACGTACGTTTATTTTTTTGCAATGTTTACTTAAAATTGATTGATTATGGAAGGGATTATTATCCTAAATAAGTTTATGATGTATCGTACACTAGAGATTACATCTTACAGAACGTTAAGAATGTAACTGTCAGTGATAGCTAGTAAACATTACGGTCCAATTAGTCGAAGTCACTTGGACGTCGACTAATTGGTAAGTATCGCAAGTGGCCGTGTTTTAAGCCCGTTCAATAGAAATTGAACTGAAACGCATGAAAATGCACTAAAGGGGCTGGAAACATAAAACTAGTTCAATCCTTTTTTTAAAACTGTTTATGAGTGGGTTTAACGAAGTAAGCGGCACGCACGCGCTGGATAAAAGAATAACATACGCCCATCTCCCGCCCTAACTGTAAATAGTACTCGCACTATTGTTCACTGCCACAGATCATGCTCTTATAATTCTCATTTCATAGTTTGAAACAGATTCAAAGATAAATGTAGAATTTAAGAAATGAATTCGTTTAAGGGTAATTTAACGATGTTTTTGTGAGAATTTAATATTTGTAGGTACAGCTTATTGATGTAGTTAATAAATATTCTCACCGAAAGGAGATTTAAATCACTTAGTTTCGTACACACATGTGTAAAGGTTTTAAGTGTAGAAGCGCTTAAAACTGCATTTTATTGCGGTTTTCTACATGGTAGAAGTAGGTAGAAGTATTTTCAGAAACGACTAAGTAGATAGGTACTTTCAAATCTCGTTGTGTCTAAAATTTGTCATCCACAAAATAAAATCTTCCTTAAAAGCGAAGTTTTTTTGTTATTACTGTTTTATATCACATTAAGCATAAATCTCCAAAAATATATTTTTACATCATAAATGTATGTATGTATGTTTGTCTCGTGTCTCTTTCAACTCGATGTACGAATCTTTGGTAGCCGTTTCTAAGAGTCACGGGATATATTTAATAACACAACATTAGTGCATTTTTGCTCGCAAAACACTAGAAAATAGCTTGATTAATTTTCTAGTGAAAAATTACCATCGTCGGCATGCGAAGCAATAATTTGTAATTGTAAAATATCAGGAGAAAATCATATTTGCTTGCTTGTGTACGTCGTGTAGGTGAAACCCACATTACAGCCGGTCACACAACGCTAAATAGCACTGATTCACGTGACAACATTCTTTCTTTGCATCAATAAATGATTGTTGCATTGGAATAAATACACTCATTATATGTATGAATGCAATTAGACGCATATTTATGTAGCAAATACCGTTTCGCGCGGTCGCGCCTGAGCTCAAACGACTTTCAAACGAAACTGTGGTGAAACATATATAATAGCGCTACCGACCATGCGATCATATACTTACCATTATTTTGTTTTATAGATCCTCATGAATGAGTATATACTTTTTCATTCACAACAGCTTTTGTGTATAAGTATAGTATTAAATCCTAACTTGAAGTAGAAGTAACTTGAAATGCAACAAACCAATACATCTGCATGGGAAGTCATAAGGCCATTACAGTCATAGGCTCATTATGTGTCGATAAACTAATTTCGAATATTAGTAATAATAAATTTAGATCTAAGCCTAATACTTACATAGCATAGAACGTAACTATCTCCATCATTATGTGGTTTTCTATTTAAAGATAACGACTTCGTAAACGACACGTATGTTCGTCGCGAGAGACCATTTTCCCCTCAATGCTTTAAACAAAAGTTCTGAAGGATTTAATGTAATTGTAATAAAAAATATTTTCTGGTAGAAACTGTATGGCATATTCAAAAATTACAACTGAATTGAGAGCGAAAGAAGCAGAAAAGAAGTCTGCCACAACTAGAAATGTGTACAATATAGTAAATAAAATACTTATATTTTAACAGTATTTCTAAAATCAAATAATACACAATTATAATATTAAAAAAGTAAGTACAGGTAAGTGTGCTCATGTATGTAGGTATTCGAGTATGGCGTATGCCGTTATCTAGGCACCAGACTTCCTTGAAAAAATTTAACATGGTAATGTTACTCGGTTCTTAGGAAACATTTGAGACCCGTTATTTATATTACGATTGAATATTGACAACGTGATGTACATTCATACAATTTTATTAAAAAAGTTACTTACAGCAAAGTCAACTTATCCAATGTGTTAAAGTTTGAAAATTTTAAGTAATTTCTATAGTATATAGGTCAATCTTATAAAACAAATATTGTACGATCAAGATTTTGATAATTAAAATGAAAAAATTGTGAATTCTGTAAAATCATTTTCATTGAACCAGAATATTTGATAGAGCATTTTAAAGCTATAGGTACATTATTTTATCGACATGCATTTAAGAAATAAAATTTAATATTTTAGTAAAAAACTCTTAAGCTCTCGGTTTGCAAAATGAGCGACTCGGGTTTACGCGCAAGTATTAAAATAACATAAACACACCTTTGACGGGTGGTCTTAATGAGAAAAGTTTGATACGACTTCCATTTAAGTCAAACTTCTGTCATCAGCGTTTACTTTCCTGGGCAAGGCGAGGCGGACAGCTCGACTGTACCTCGGAAACCAGATAAGAAATCTCAATCGGAAGGTAAACAAAACTTGATTTCGTTATTGACTACAGGCGACCGCTCTGTTCGATTTCCGACTTTTCTAACTTCTGTTAGGATTGCATTCGAAATTGTGTAAAAAGTTTACATTGACAAAGTTTGTCGCTGGCACGAATTAAAACATTGTTTTGGTCTAGGACATCATACTCTGCCTGCAAAACTCTTTCAAGATTGCTAACGGTAAATATAAATTAAAATATCATGAGTTTTTTCACATATTCGTATAAAAATAGCTGTGTAATAAATTATTTCGCACCTACACTTATACGTATTTATAACTTGCGGTACTTTCGCGGCGTTAAAAATTATAATATATTATAACAGATTTTAAACAGTTCAGACATAATAATTACCAAAATTTTAAGGAAACACAAGGTTTGTGTAGGAAAAAATAGTTTGAAGTGGCAAAACTAGATCAATTATTTTCAATGTTCCCTAAAGATTTCAATATTCCAAGATCAATATACCTAGCTAAAGTTAAACTCACAGCGGAGACGTTAATTTGCTTAACTTATGCGTGCGAACTTCAACTTCTCTATAGTTACGATGTAAGTTAAGTTGTACTTAGTTTGCGTATCTCTGCGTTATACGATGTTACACAATAAATATAATTGTTATTTATTCGGCGTGTAAAGTTTTGAACGGTGCTATACTGTGCGGCATCGTAGGCTGGCTGGTGCGATCGTATCGCTACACATTAGTCGTCGGGCCGAGAGAGTTATTATCAGAAACGTTTGTTCGCAACTTTATCTTACGTCGTGCTCTCTACTCGTAGAAACTTTTCGGTTGAGTGCTCACAGGAGTGGTTACACAGAAGCAAGAACAGTGCGAGCGTGAACTTACCATGTTAGAGAGCAGCAGCCGTTGGTGTTTAGCGACTTGGGGGTCTAGGGCTTGGAGCGGGAGGGCTAAGGGCAACGGGAGAGGTAGCGGCAAAGGGAGCGGGTGCGGATGCGGAGCCGGTTGCAGGAACAGCGGCGGGCAGCAGGCACACGGCGTCACGTAGGACACGCACCCGAGCTGCGGCGGGAACAGCGTGCCGGCGGCCTCCTTGAGGCCTCGCACGACTCTCTCACGACCGCATCCGCGGCCGACCTCCGAGCGTTCGACGGCTACGTTTGCCGCCGACTTCCCGATTTCGTCTCGTCTCCGATCTCTAAGCGGTCGACTCAAACGATGCGCTTGCTCCGAAATGTATTTAAACTAAACGCGGGAATTCCACAAGTTCTCGACCGTGGCTCGAAATGCGGTGGAAAGTGTCAAAACTTAATTGTTTAGTTTAAAAAGGACCGGGTCAACGCGAGGGAGCGGGAAACTGAGCGATCGGGAGAAGCGAGAAACGTCGCGCAGAGCTCGCGAGAGTGTGGAGAGAGTGGCGGCGTGCACGGAGCACAAGTCGCCAGGCCGGCGTGTGGCGGTGGACTGAGCGGCGAGGCAGGTGCGCGAGACGCGCGGAGGGCGCTGGGGGCGGGCCCACCTGACTCACCTGGGCGCCTGCGCCGCGCTTGCTCAGCCTCCGCGACTCGCTCCACACCACACGCGCGTCACAGTCGCTGTACGAGTACACACACCACGCAGCCGCCACACACACAACTCCACATACCACACACCATAACACCAACATCAACACCAGATTGCAACTTTTTAATATTGTATTATACATACTTGCTTATTTTAATAAATTATTATGTGTATACACCCGGTCTTTAATGGTTCTAAGTTATTTGAAAACAGAAAACATTCACGACAGTTTTTGTACATCGTAAAAAGAAATTATAATGATTAATCAAAATTGTCTAAAGTGTTTCGCTGGAAGAAAACGCCGTGAGTAAACCCAAATGATCTTATAACATGTTTCAAAACAATATGACTATCAGTTTTCATCCTAAAGTACTATATAAAGAAAATGAGCGTAATAAAATAAATTGGCAACTCGACAACTCGCAAATAAGAAGGCATTATCTTGCGGAAATCTCTAGCGGGATAACCGGGATAAATCGCATTGATCTTAGAGGTCCGGCTGTCGCTAGAGGACATCTGAAGAGGCCCGCGATGTAAGCTCATTGTACACGCTTAGAGAGGATTAAGCACCTTTTAGCATCGCACACTATTTACTTTTGGGATCTTTTTGTACGAGACACAGATTACTGAGCCTCGTTAGTGGCCAATGAGTAAACAAGATGAGATTTAGTTGCGCAAGTAATATAGGTCGTAGGCACGTACAACGACCGACGGATAAAAATAACTATTATGTTAATAACTATAAACTTAAATATCTAGCGGAGTTTAAAAGTATACATATAGCAAAAATGAAACACGAGTACATAACTATATTTAGGTTTCTTATAAAACCATTAGTACTTTGAGATAGTAGGAAGTAATATATAAATATATATATTTAATACCATAACGGATAAAACTATCGCATATATTTTAAAACGGATATTTTAAAACTATTGTCCGTGTAGTGACGGATTAAGAATACGGAATGTCACTACCCCAGTTCATCCCGTGGGTGTCGTAAGAGTCGACTAAGGGCGCAAAACAACGCAGGACACCAGCTCTGCAAAAAGAAGGAAAACTTGTCACAAACCCTATACCAACCCGTCTGGCCAGCGTGGTATAGTAGGCCAAAACCTCCTTTCTAAGGAGAGGCCTATGTTCAGCAGTGGACTATTACAGGCTGATGATGTGTGATGTGTGATATATTTTATTATTCAAATCTATTATTATCTAGTACCGATAGCTTGTAATGGTAACCGCCTAACTAAAAATGAACGGTCTAGCAACCGTACATCTTTACTCGTAGGTCGCGGGCGTCACTTAGGTTCGTTTATTGATAATATTAGTAAAAATTTAACAAAATAAACAGCATAAGTTTACTAATGCTTTTAAGTACACTGGCATGCACCTATTCTCAAGAGTAAGAAACACTAAAGTAATCTTTGTAACAATTTAAGTTATAACACAACTGATTACGCATTGATTTAAGTGATTTCTTTCTCGTGTGTACTTCATTTACTTACACCAACATTTTCTAAGTGTAAAAGGTAACCGGCCCTTACAATGAACTTAAGTAACTACCTAAATTCAAAAAACGCAAAAAATACATATTTAATAAAATTACAATATCCTAAATGCTCTACAGTGATCCCATAAATTTTTTGTGATGAATTTACTTAATTCGTTTTGTCTAATAAAGCTTTTTTGAATAATACTTTTATAATACTTAAAAGGAATGGTGTCAAAGGTAAAATATGTTCACTAAATATTGTAGAATAGCTAAAAATATAAAAAATAGCGGTACAATTCATCTGAACATTAAGCAAAGATCCCGCTATCCCCCGTTCATGAAACTGTGACAAGAACCATCAAGATGATTTGTTCGTCTAAATTGCTTTTAAAAATTGTTTATCTGTAATTACATTTCATACAATCTTCCCTTTTCAGTAGATAAATAGCCCTGTAACAGCTCAATTACATACCAAAATTATTGTACCAATACCCATATGCAAGTCGATTGTGAACGCTAAGTACCTGGAAGCTGCTAAAGCCTTTGAGCTTGCATTTCAAATTAGACAAAACGATTAGCGTACACGTGTAACACAGTTACATGGAAATGTACAATACATATAAACTTAATCAAAGATAGAATTGTGATAGTGAACTATTATAGTTAATATTTATACACAGGAACAAATTATTAATTCTATTTAGACATGGTACAAAAAAAATCAAAAGTGGCCTCTTTTGCTTTCTCTTTTTTTAATTTTGGTTTATACCAAAACTAAAACTGTCGGGACTACAGACCTCTACAGGAATCTAAGCAGTCCAACTACAATTTTACCACTTTTGATACTTTCGACATTAGTTTATGCTGGTTTTTTTTCGGTGGGTTAATTTTTATCCTTAGCCATATAATATGCTAATGGTGATAAAATAATAAAAATATCATATCAAAGCAAACAAGAAAGTCAAATTTAAAGGCGCCGTAATTAATAACCAAAGGTTTTATTTTTATATAGCTTCTTTTATTATTCTTAGAAATTTAAAGAATCAAGTTTCGAATTTCCATTTCTAGAAAAAAAAAAACACGATTTCTATTAGAAAACTGTGGTAATAGTTAGAGCTAGGAATTAGAAACACTGTTAGATAATTTAAGGTTTAGAAGTTGAAATCGTTTTCATCCGCATAATTGAAACAATATAATTTGATTTGTTAAGGATCCAGAATTAATACCTTCTCTACAACAAAGACACTTCAAACGCACCTGTTTTCGATAGTATTAATAATTAATTCTCGTCATCGGTATGTTACAAGGTAAGGTAATTACTAATTAGAGAGTGTGGTAACTTGACATGTTTTTGAAGACACTCAACACTTGACATGTTTTTGGAAGACGAACTGACTACACAAGCAGCGTGTAGCCTGTTCGTTGCCAGATCTTTACTTACAGCTAATGAGATTAACGTATCTAGGATGAAAGATAGTGGTTGTATGTCATAATTATTACGAAATACGCACACACGAGGGAGCTTTACTTATTTAGTGATGGAGTAAGACGCGGTTTGAATTACTTAGTTCTGCGAACTATATCTACTACGACTTATTGTCATATTCGCTGAAATTCGTACATTTTTACCAGAGCTAAGTAGTTGATTGCGCCTTTTTTGCATACGGCGTTGCCAACTTTATTTTCCACCTCCAGGGGACCGGTAGTCATCCAACCCATTAATAGTGATGATTAACGGCTCTTATTCAATAGGGAAATTTCATTTCATTTATGAGCAAAAAGGTGGTTATAAAATGACAGATTAAAATTTGTGTTAAACGGACTTGCAGTATGACCTTACTTATGTCTGTCACCGATCATAAACATTTTATGACCCATCCTGATTTTCCATCAGCATCAGATAGTCATAACAATGGCATGAATGAATATGTTCTGAGAAAGGGCCAATGTAATGTGTGAGCTTGTGATCACAACGAAGTAATTCTTTGCACATCACACATCTTCAAATATAATATAATAATACATACATCATCTTGATGGACATTATCGTCTTCTAGTACAAATCTGTTCTACTCTACCTACTATATATTAGAACAAATAAAATATATTTAAATTATTAAAAGTTTTTTTTTAATTTCATCTATTTTCTCATAAGTTTCCGACTGTTTACACAGTCACATGCAAGTAACAATTTTTAAAATTGTTACACTGCATAAATTTTTCAGAATGTCCACTGACCTCTTAAAATACTTCACCTAAAAAGTTTTCTTCCCGTTGTGCTTATTTAAATAGAATACTTGGTGTTAGTACAATCGTGCGCACGAGCAACACATAGGTAAAATCATGCTGTTGTAAATAGTTGTAATGTTCGTTACTATTTCTATAACAACTACTAGCTACTCTTAACACGCAAACCCGCTAATCATAATATACATATAAAGAAACACACATATACACACATCATACCCATAATTTCCGCATTAAAACATTTCAGACGTTTCTAACAACCTAAATATTTATCCCTACCATGCATGTCCGTGTGCACACGTGTGTATGCATGTGTAAGTGATCATTGTGTATGTAGTGTAATAGAAGGCATGTGAACAAATTCCGCAGTTTAAAGTTAGGCTGCACGCCCGCACGGGCCCCGGCCGTTGAACTTGCGCGCGCGCCGCCAAGCCGTCTACGAGAGGTATTATGTAACGTGACCTTAACATTGGGCTGTGGGAATGAGACCTTATTCGGAACGTGTTGATTGTATATTAACGCTTATGGTGTTAAGTATTTTACGTAAAAAGTATGCAGACAGCAATGAAACTTGCTAAGCTCAATTAATTTTGCAAAAATATGTACCGTTAATTTTTTTTTATTTTCATTTCTAAAAAACTATGTTATGACCATAGACAGGGTATATAATTTGTTTTTATCTAAAACTTTGAGAGGTACTTCACAGTAAGTTTCTACTATAATCGCAACAGATCGCCTATACAGGCTGCGTCCCACAAGCCCTACTTTTGTACCTTGTACCAGGATGTGTGTCATCGGCACCAGCTTCCTACTCTGTAGGTTTTCTAATGTAGGTAATGTTCAACTTTGACATAAGGCACTTCAAAGCATGTAAGAGACAGATTTGGTTGTGTTGATAAGACTATTTTATAAGTTGCGTGATACCTACTTCATTTTCATTATTTACTAGCTGACCCGATAGACATGCTGACAAAATTTAATATTATGAAAAAAATCACTTCAAGTTTTCTTTGACTTTCCTCAAATTTTTATCGCGCAGACTTTTTGCCAGCTGGACCAAAGTGATATCACGGCCTCACAGAGAAAACGGTGTAAAGCATTTACTTCCGGTAACTCATTCACTCGGTAGTGGGTGAGTTCCCGGAGCTGTAAACCAGGAGAGATTTGGGGCTCCGGTTGCCACCTTTTGAGTCCTTTCTCTAATTCTTAGGAGAAGGGCAGACTCAAATGGGGGCAACGCAAATGTGACTCTAGAGTTGCAAGTGTGAAGTCGTGATCGCAAATTTCAATGACGATTAATTAGGTCGTTGAGAGCTGAATGTGGAACAAATATACAAACAAACCCATATTTGTATTCATAACTAACTGAATACTTACTAGTATCATTAACTTATCATTTTTTTTATTCACAAATATAATTAAGATAAAATAAGAAGGAGTAGTAAAAAGTAAAGTATAGTATGCGATAGTCATGATGGATTCTATATAAAATCGTGCAAAGGTGGCAACTCTGATTGAAAGTACACTGTAACAAGGCGTACTCAATAAAACATATTTAAGTTGGGATTTCCATGGGCAATGATATCTGGTATGCCATTCGCGCTATCATGTTAAAAATATTTCTTTAGCTCTTTATTTAAAGTGCTGAACTCTCTTCTAAACAGCCTCACATCTTCCACGAAATCTTGAGATCATTTTAGAACTTACGTGTATGCAAAAAGAAACTTGCAATTATTCTCAAAAAGGCAAAGGAGAGTCTTATGCCAATTAATATCTTTCTGGAACGATTGTAATGATTTAAACTTACCATTCAGGAGTTATGCGATTTTTTTTTGTACAATATAAAAGCAAATTATAATAAAATAACATCGTTAAAAAATGAGATTGAAATTTAAATATTTCCCATACAACCCATACAACCGCGTGTGGCTTACAACGAAGAGCTTAAAGAAATAAAATATATGTTTTCTCGTTTTCAGTTGAAAAACTAATGTAAATAGTATGTGCTTATGATATTTATATACAACACTTTTTACATCATCCTTAGTTTCAAAAATACAATTTGTTATATTAATTAATAATATCGAATAGTAAGCAAAAGTGTAAGCGTTTAGTATGCCTCTGTGTAACCCTTCGGGGATAAAGACGTTATTGTATGTATGTATGCATGTAGCAAAGGATGAACAAATAAACGACGATTTTAGAACGGATGCCTTCTACTTCATGATAACACTGAGAGATATATTTATTACTAACGACTTTGTACGTTCACTAACAGTTACTAACTTAGATAAAAACCTTAACTTGGGAACAAAGTAATAATGAAAATGTGTGTCGGAATTTTAATAATTCTATGAGTTATGTCATAAGTATATCAATATACTGCTGACATAACTCATAGATTTTAAGTCTTTAATGCAATCCTGTCCTGAAATTCAATCTTAGTTGACGTACAATATTTAAAAACTCTCTCCTTGCAAAGAAAAGGTGTCCCGTACTAAATACCTTCATACAAACTTATGTGATCCCTTGAACCACCTTAAACCCTGTCGGACCCGTTCTAAGCTGACCTGTCAAACCTATAAATTACCTTGTTGACAACTTTCATTTTAATACCTCAATTAAGTTTCCAATAGTTAATGATTAATCAATAGCTGAGGGCTGATGATGAGTGAATGAGTAGGTATCCTTTTAAGTTTATAATACAGACTATAGACTGTAACATTTTTTATTTCAATGAGCTCAAGAAAGTAGATGGGTTATTTATTAGCGAT